CATCAATTTTTCCTAACAAGGCTCCAATTACTGCTCCAAGGAGCTGCAGAGTGGGGTGGGAAAACAGCTGCTCCCGTGTGAGGGACCCACGCCCCCCTTCCCTCGGCTGCATCAGCACTTGATAAGGATTCTTATCAATTAAAACCGAAAACGTGGCACCCACTTTGCCCCAAAGGAGCCTTTTATGTCTGACTCAAAGCTGATCGAAGGGAACAGAATGTGGGGGGTTTTGTTGGGGGGTTTTTGGGAACGCTGCTTTTTCTGGCCTAATGGATGGAGTGCCAGGGAATGGGAATTTTTCCTTTCCAGGGATTGATAAGGAGAAGGCAGGATCCTGTTCTGCACAGTCAGAGGAGGCTCCACTAATCACAGGGAGTAATTAGGGGCATGCAGTTGAAATAATTAAGGGTTTTTTATAACGTGCCACATTTACCTGGGGCTGTTCATGGGGAGACCTCGGTGCTTCCCAAGGAGTTTATGAGTGACCGGATAATGGGGAATGGATTTAAACTAACAGGGAATATTGGGAAGGAATTCCTGGCTGGGAGGGAGGTGAAGGGCTGGGATGGAATTCCCAGGGAAGCTGTGGCTGCTTCCGGATCCCTGGAAATGTCCAAGGCCAGCTTGGATCAGCCTGGGACAGTGGGAGGTGCCCCTGTCCATGGCAGGGGGTAGCACTGGATGGGCTTTAAGTTCCTTCCCATCCAAACCATTCCATGACTCCATGAATTCCACATATATATATATAAAAGTATGGAATCATATATAAATATGGAATATTTATGGAATAAATATAAATATAATATATATAATAGAATAGAATAATATAATATAATACAATGCAATGTAATGTAATGTAATATAATATAATGTACAAATATATAATGTATATAATATATATAATATAATATATATAAATATGGAATATAAATATGGAATATATGGAATATATATATATATATATATATATATATATATATATACATGGAATCATATATAAATATGAGCTTCAAGGCCCCTTCCAATCCAACCATTCCCCCAGTTCTCAGCAGGCAGGATGTGTTTTTCCAGGCCCACACCCCTCTGGAGCAGCATTTCCCTGCCTTTGCTCCGGGCTCACAATCCCAGGAAACCACTGGGATCTCCTGGCAGCTCCAAGGGGAGCGGCTCCTGCTGCCTCAGTGGCATCAGCACAGCACCCAACTCCTACAAGTGGGAAGAAAACACAACCAAACAGAGGCAGGGAGAAATTCCAGAGCTCCTAAAAGCAGATCCTCCCCTGCTTTGCTTCCCGGGAAAGCCACGGATCCGTCACGTTCTTCACACCCCAGCAGCACCGTGAGCACTCCTGGATTTTTCCCCGGGAGAAAGGGACGTGCTCCGATGGCCCTGCCTGGAAGAAGGGTGGCAGGAGGATGTGAGGAGGAGGTGGGATCTCGTTAAGATGTGCTGCAACCTCCAAACAGGGGAAAAAAAAAATCCCGGAGTGTGCAGCTTCCAGATGGCTGGAATGACGTGTGGCACTGGCAGCTGCTCCTTCCCGAGCCTCGGGAATGACAGGAGAGGGGAGGCAGCACCTGGGAGAGGGGGCGACAGGGTGGGAGGACCAGAGGTCACCCTGCAGCACTGGGAGGGACTGGGAGAGCACTTGGACACTGCCCCTTGTCAGCTCTGCACATTTTGCTGCTTGGAATGTGCCATTCCCACTGGGATAACGCCACCCGAGGTGGGACAGCGCTCGCAGGTGAACCACTGGAAAAATCACAGCCAGGGGAAAGCAAACCCCAAGGAGGGAGAGGCTGGATTGACAAACCAGGTCTTTATTCCAGACTCCTGGAATCACTGAGATTGGAAAAGCCATCCAAGACTGAATCCCAGCACTGCCAAGGCCACCACTGATCCATGTCCCCAAGTGCCACATCCACAGGGATTTTAAATCCCTTCAGGGATGGCGACTCCACCACTGCCCCAGGGCAACCTATTCCATTAAATTCTTATCTCCAATGCAAACCTTCCCTGGCACAACTCGAGGCCATTTCCTGTTGTTACTTGGGGAAAAAGCCTGGGGAAAAAAAAGCCTGGACACACCCTCCTGTCAGGGATTTCCCATTCATCCTTCAGTGGAAAACCAGGAATTCGAAATCCCAGCCAATCTCTGCTCATCAGATGCTTCTTCCTCTGCTCCCCATGATCCAAACGTCATTCCACACTTTGGAAAGTCACAGTTTTTGTTTCCAATGACTGGACCTGCCTGCACAGATGAGAGTTCCCAAGGAAAATCAGGAAAAAGCACATTCCTCCAGGCTGGGCAGGAGATTGTCACCAGTGGGGATAAAATGTCACTTCTTAGCCACTCAGTCCAGGAAATCCCTCATTTGTGTCAAGGGATAAGTGGCCTTTGAATATCCTGGCACATCCCTTTGGAGCTGGAGAGCAGGGACAGCCCAGCCCCTGGATCCTGGATAAAATCTGGGAAAAGGACAGGTCCCCACCGGGTGATCCTGCTCCAAACTTTGCAGCATTTTATCCAAAAATCAAACCAGCCTCTCCTGACAGCTGCAATTTATGGAAAAAAAAGGGTTGCATTCACCTCACCTGAGTGGGGATAAAGTGCTTTAAAAATTCCAGCCAGGAAAATTATTTCTATGGCAACTAATGGTGCATTCCAAAGCTGGGTGTGAGAAGGTGGGAAATGGGGAATAACAAATACTAATCACATGGAACGCCTCAAAATCACTCCATGGATAACAAGCAGACATTCAAGGATGTGTTGGGGTGCCCAGAGTCTCATATTTAATTAGGAGTGAGGTGAATTTTGGGGATTAACAGAGCAATTATTTTTAATTTTCCTTCTTTCTGATAATTCCCACACCCTTATATTATTCCTCCCAAAAACCTCATTGATGCTGAGAAGACTCCATGAAAACTTAGAGGAGAAATTCCAGAAAATTTCCAGCAGTTGGAAAGTGCAACCACCACTCTGAATACAGGAATTTCCCTGCCTGGAAATAACCCCAGGGAAAAATTTTGGTGGGAAAGGCAGCAAAATGACCTGAGAAAATGGGAAGATTTGCTAAATCTGAAGATCTGTGTTCAAAGGGAGGCCCCCCCAGAGTGGCATCGCTGCGAGGGTGACTTGGAGCAGATCAGAGACATCCCTGAGTCATCAGACCCCAAAGAACGACATCCATTGATCCCAAAGTTAAAAGAACAAATGTTGGAAAGACAAAAAAGGCATAAATGTGTGCTTTGGTAAAGCAGGAAGGAGGAGTGACAGGAGAGAAAAAGAAACAAAACCAGAATTTTTTCTCATTAATTCATTTCTCCTCCCAGAGCCATCACGGGCAGCCTCAAATCCTACAGATTAGAAATCCCTGGGAATGTTCAAGGCTTGGAGTGGAAAATATCCCTGCCCATGGGAGGAGTTGGCACTGGTTCATTTTTCACCTCCTTTCCAACCCAAACCATTGCACGATTCTGTGATTTTACAAATTCCCAATCCAGGGTTGTTTAATTCTTCCAGCATTTAAACCAAAAGGAGTTTCCATGCCAAGAACAATTGGAAAATTTGAGTCAACGTGGAAGTGTGAAAGCATTCTTGGAATGCACAACTCCATATTTTATAACCCCATTCCCCAGCATCTGATCAAACAGCAGCTAGAAAACAATTTCCATGCAGTGTGCAACCCAAATCTGAGAGCATCCTGTGGAAAGATCAGGAAAAAAATTGGAATACTGGAAACACTGTCCCTAAACCAGCAGAGAATAAACTTCCACTGCTTTAGCTTTAAATCTTCTCCTTAAATTGGGAACAATAATGGAATAAACAACAAAAACAGCAAACCTCTCCTTCCTGGAGGAACTCACACTGAAGGTCTCCCAGAGAATTCCCTGCTCCCAGTTCCTGCCTGTCCCTTGCAATTCCAAGAGCAAAGGGTTTAATTCACCACCTTGGAAAGAAAATCCCTGGTGGTTATCTTAATTAAAAATAACTGATTAACGAGGTGTCCTGGCCCAAGGGGGTCACACCAGGGAGGTGAAGCAGGAGTTGCCAACAATCTTGAGCTCGATAAAATAAGGTTAGGCCTGGAAAAAGCTGATTTATCCCCAGGTAATTCTGGTTTATCCTGCTGCAATGCTGGGGGTTCCATGACATCGCTGATCCAGGTCAACAGGGAGACATTCCCAAGCTCTTGGGTTCCCTGCTCCAGCTATTCCCTCTTCCAGAATTCCAGCTGGATTTCTGAGGACTGGGGCGCAAAGATCCCAGACAAGGGGAAAACTTTAGGGATTTTCATCCAACAATTGTCACCCCCACAATTGTTCTCCTTCTCTTTTGCCAACCTCCATGGAAATCGAACACACCAGGAATTTAAAGCACAATATTGCTGATTTTAACACCAGATTTTCCAAAACAACTCTCCAACAATTGTCACCCTTATAATTGTTTTCCCTCTCTTTTACCAACCTCCATGGAAATCAAACACACCAGGAATTTAAAGCACAAATCCCAGGTAATTCTGGTTTATCCTGCTGCAACGCTGGGGGTTCCATGACATCCCTGTCCAGGTGAACAGGGAGACTTTCCCAAGATCTTGGGTTCCCTGCTCCAGCTGTTCCCTCTACCAGAATCCCAGCTGGATTTCTGAGGACTGGGGTGTGAAGATCCCAGACAAGGGGAAAACTTTAGGGATTTTCACCCAACAATTGTCACCGTTATAATTGTTTTCCTTCTCTTTTACCAACCTCCATGGAAATCAAACACACCAGGAATTTAAAGCACAATATTGCTGATTTTAACACCAGATTTTCCAAAACAACTCTCCAGCATTCCTGCCGTTGATGTTCCTCCGGAACACCCAACATCCACGCAACAGCTGGGATGGATCCCCCACCTGGATCCCGTTGGATCTTGCCCACTGTGCAGACTCTGAAGGTGAACCCAGCCCGTGGAGGGTCCGGGGGTGCGGAGGGCACGGGTGTGGTGGGCAGGGACTCACCTGTGGCCGGGGGTGGCCGGTGACCAGGCAGGTGAGCTCCAGGGTCTCTCCCTCGCGGATGGTGTAGACGCGCTCTGAGTAGCGCTCCTCCTCGATGTTGCAGGCCAGGCCCGAGTGCACGATCCGCACCGTGGGGGGGGCTGCAAGGCCAGCAGAGAAACGGGATCAGAACCTCATGGATCACCAAATTGCAGGGTGTTCCGAGTAGGAGGAATCCCACAAGAATCAAGTCCAGTTCTTAAGGGAATCAAACGCAACCTTGGCATTCTCGGCTCCAAGATCCAACCAACCGAGCCATCCCAGACCACTGGGCCTGGCCCTGAGCTAGGGGAGTGCAAGGCCAGCAGAGAAATGGGATGAGAATCACGTGGATCATGGGATTATCAGACGTTCTAGGTTGGAAAAAATCCACAAGGATCAAGTCCAGCTCTTAAGGGAATCAAACACGACCTTGGCATTCTCAGCTCCAAGATCCAACCAGCCAAGCCCACCCCAAACAACCCCACTCCTGGGGCTGGCCCTGAATGGGGGGGCTGCAAGGCCAGCAGAGAAACGGCATGAGAATCACATGGATCATGGGATTATTGGACATTCCAGGTTGGAAAAAATCCACAAGGATCAAGTCCAGCTCTTAAAGGAATCAAACATGACCTTGGCATTCTCAGCTCCATGATCCAACCAACCAAGGCCATCCCAGATCACTCCACTCCTGCACCTGGCCATGAGCTGGGGGAGCTGCAAGGCCAGCAGAGAAACGGGATCAGAACCACATGGAACACCAAATTATGGGATGTTCCAAGCTGCAAAAATCCCACAGGGATCAAGTCCAACTGTTAAGGGAATTAAATATGACCTTGGGCATTCTCAGCTCCATGATCCAACCAACCAAGCCCATCCCAGACCACTCCACCCCTGGGGCTGAGGGGCTGCAAGGCCAGCAGAGAAACGGAATCAGAACCACACGGATCACTGAATTATGGGATGTTCCAAGTTGGAAGAATCCCACAAGGATCAAGTCCAGCCCTCAAGGAAATCAAACATGACCTTGGCATTCTCAACTCCATGATCCAACCAACCAAGCCCATCCCAGACCACTCCACACCTGGGGCTGGCTGTGATCTGGGGGTGCTGCAAGGCCAGCAGAGAAACAGGATCAGAACCACATGGAACACCAAATTATGGGATGTTCTGAGTTGGAAAAGCCACAAGGATTGAGTCCAGCTCTAAAGGGAACTGAACCTACCTCGGCATTTTCAGCTCCATGATCCAACCAACCAAGCCCATCCCAGGCCACCCCTGCCCTGGAAGCAGCACTGAGCATCTCTCCCACACAGTTACTCATTGTTTACTCAGCACATACTCATCACCACAAGAGATTTCCATGGTTTTTATTAATCCCTGGCAATCCCCTGGATGAAACCTTCAGCACCCCCCCCACTTGCATTCCAATTTTTTTGTTTCCATTTCCAAAATGAACTTGGCATTATTGTTTTTATTCTATATCTTCCTAAATGCATTATCACACTCGTTATGCAAATGAAAAGACTTAATTAAAGCAGGAAAATTAAGCAGGGGAAAGAGTGGCACTGATGCTGCTGCTTCCTTTCCAAATCCTGTCAGCAGGATCAGGATTTGGAGCAGGAGTTAAGTTCAGGCAGAACCTTGCTTTAATTTCCTTGTTGGTACAACCTGTAGCACAGGAATTACTCAGATTTACACGTTCTAAGTGTAAGGAAACCACGACATTCCTGTTATTACACCTGCATAAATCCCAGCTCCATTTCCACAAGACTCCAAAGCACATTCCCGGCTCCACGATTTCGCTTCTGAGCCGTGAAATTCACAGCTATGACAATTTCCAGGGAGTGGATCGATAGGAGAAGGAAACTGATTTACAGACCCTAATAAAAGCACAGAAACTAAAGGGCACAAAGGATAAAATGGAATTCTGTGGGATTTAAACACCGGGAATTCCATCCTTTCTGTTCATCCATGTGATGCCATTGAGCTCCCAGCCCCATTCCCCATGGAAGAGCCTCAAAACTTCTCCCCAGGCCCTTTGCAACAGCTGGATCCCCTTCCCAAGGCTGCTTTTCCAGGTCTCCGTGCTGCACGTCACACCAACCCTGCTTCTCTGATCATTCTGCAATTCCTCTGCTGAGATCCACATGGAATTCCCAGGATGCAGGGCTCCGGCATCCCTTCAGACCCCCCCTCACCCTGGCACTCCTGGTCCAGCCCACACACAGCTCCCTATGGGCACAGCCCCATCGTGGGACCCTGATCTGAAGGCCTGGGATTGATCCAAACCTGCCAAGAGCTCCAGTTTCTGAGCCTGCCTCTCCACAGCCTGGAGAAAATGAGGCTCGTGCCAAGGAGGCAGAAGAGGCAGAGGAAGAGCAGGGAATGGCTGCTTCCTCCACAGAAACATGGAATGGTTTGGGCTGGAAGGACCTTAAATCCCATCTCATTCCAACCCAGCACATTCCACTGTCCCAGGCTGCTCCAAGCCCCATCCAACCCGGCCTTGGACACTTCCAGAGATCCAGGGGCAGCCACAGCTGCTCTGGGAATTCCATTCCAGAGTCTCCCCACCTCCCAGCCAGGAATTGCTTCCCAATATCCCTTCCAGCCCCACACTCAGTTTGAAGCCATCATTCCAGCAAAGCCTCCAGCCAGCTCTGCTCTTCCAGCCACCACATCCCGAGTTCCGAAGCCCCAGGAGCTTTCCCTCCTCACTTTTCCAGAAGGTTTAACAAAGACCAACACACCCCTGCTCCAGCCAAAAATGCTCCCAATTACTCCAAGTCCAACACAATGATGGAATAAAGGTGCTTGGAACAACCTGGGATACAGGGAGGTGTCCCAGACCATGGCAGGGGTGGAACTGGGTTTAAGATCCAAACCCCTCTAGGATTCCATGATTCCCTTGTCCCACAGATGCAGGTGGATCTTCCCATGAAGCTCCTGGAAGGACAGGAATGTCCTTGGTTAGGAATCATGGCCATGTGTCACACTCTAACCTGGAAACAATCCGTGAATTCCGGACTGTGATTATTTTTCTGGGTGGAACAGCAGCACCGACACTTGCTGTGCTGATTTTTCCCTGGAGTTCCTAGGAATGCTGATCCCCCTCCACCCTCCTCAGGAGTTCAGCATCCCAAGGACATGGAATGTGTGCTCTTGGCTCTGCCATTTCCAGGGCTCTGAGTCACCACTGGGACTTCCATCATCTCCCACACCGCAGATTCCAAAACGCAGGAATGCTGAAGGAGAGCCACGGAGCAGAAAGGTAAACGAGGGTTCAGCACGGCTCATCAAACCTGGGACCAAATTAGAGCAGTCAGCAGCAATATTCCAACATCCTTTTAAATCCATATTCCATTAATATTCCATTTTTATTCATGTTATATTCATCTAACTCCAAATCACAGCTGAAGTGTCCTTCGTTTTTAGTGGCAGCACCATTCTCCTGAATCCATTAAATTTGGGAAGGAGCAGGAGAGGGAAAACGCCCCCCTGGGTGTTGTTATCACCAAGGAAAACACTGCTTTGAGAGGAGATCAAACCAATCAAGGGAAATAGCAAATATTCTTCTTCCAGTAAGTGAAAAATCGTATGGTTCAGGAGACATCCCATAATTATGAAATGTCACCTCCCCTCCTTCCTGCAGGAATATTCATCCCAGCTCCTTCTGAAAGCTGCCTCCAGGGATTCCATCCATTAAAACAATATCAACTTAGCATTGATTTTGCTTGTGACATTTGAGGAGAATTTGGCTGGGGATTGCACGTGGGAAACGCAGCGTGGATCCTTCCCTGTGCCATTCCCAGCAAGGCACAACCTGGAGCCAGGGAAGGTTCTCCAAGGAAAAGGTGAAACAACAAATCCGAGCACAACCCCCTTGTTCCGCTGCAGGAGTTGCGTGATCCCACAAGATTCCCTCTTTCCATGAAAAATGGAAAGGTTCTCCTTTCTTGGCTACTCTTTTCCACCAATTCCAAGTTTAGGTGGGATATTGGGATATTCCTGGCTGGGAGGGTGGGGAGGCCCTGGAATGGATTTCCAGGAGAAGCTGTGATCCAAAGTCCCAATCCAAAGGAATTCCAGTGGAATTTGGATGCTTTCTCAGCCTGGAAAGTCCTCACTGGACTCACACTGGGAAAATATTGGAAGCTCGAGAGTGATTTGGTGATCCCTGAGCTGTGCTGACGGATTGGGAATGGTTGGGAATTTCCTCTGCTCCAGGACCTCACGTTGATCTTTTTTTGATGGAAAATGTTATCAGGATCCTTTGAGAAAAGTGGGAATGAGGTGGTGTTTTGGATTGGCAAAATGGGGGAAAGTTTGAGAGGACTTTGGGATTCATTTCAGCTGGAATGGGAAGGGGAGTTGGGAGATGGAGATTTGTGGAGCTGGGAAGGGAAATCATTCCACGGAGAGGGACTGGGGACAAGGGATGGAGGGACAGGAGCCAGGGAATGGCTCCCACTGCCAGAGGACAGGGAGAAATGGGATATTGGGAAGGAATTCCTGGCTGAGAAGGTGGAATGGATTTCCCAGAGCAGCTGTGGCTGCCCCTGGATCTCTGGAATTGTCCAAGGCTAGGTTGGAGCATCCTGGGATAGGGAAGGTGTGGATTCCAGGGGAGGAACTGGATGGGCTTTGAGGTTCCTTCCATCCCAAAACATTCCAGGATTCCGTTCCAGGATCCCTTGGCACAGCTCTTTCCTGGTTAAAAGTTTCCCACGCACAGAGATTTGGTCACGTCCTTGCTGGAAAAACAGGGAATTAAACTCCGATCAACATCAGGACTCAGATCCTGGAATGGATCCCCTTAATCTGAGCAGCACCAAGATCGTCCTGATTCATGGGATGTGTAGGATTCCTTAAAACTGAATTAAAATGAGAAAATTCCTTTTTGGGTTTTTTTTTCGGAAATAGGAGATCCATGATGGACCTGCTAGAAAATGCAGGATGGATTTGCCACAAATCAAATCCCTCTCCCCTCCTGCAGCCACAAGCTTCCCCCTGAAAATTAATTAGCAGGAGTGAAGCCCCCGTGAATTTCGTGCAGCTCTGCAGCAGAACAAGGAGGAAATAATGGGATTTTCTGAAGAAAGAGGAAATTTAAAGTAAT